GAAACCGATCAAGGTTTGAAGACGCAAATTCTGCTGATGGCATTTCTGCCCTTTGGTACGCATGCTGGAACACTGCTGCCATCTTTGTTCCTATTCACAGGCAGCAAGGCTGAATACACTGAGTGCCAGGTTATGGGCACTTTGCTTCTGAAACTTGGTTTACTGCCTGGGAGGAGAGGAGAAAGTTTAAAAAGGCTCTTTTGAAACTACACTGTCATTTATATCCACGCTGGTCATCATCCTATTGGTTACTATCAGCCAGATCGCATGATTCCCAGGAATGAATATTGGTGCCATTCTTGCCATGACGCATTGGACTAGTCCCAAACCAAACGCTTAAGACCAACCTAGAGATAGGTGGTCCACGGCTAACGGTAAGTGCACATCCATGTGAGGCACTGATTGAGCACAGAGGAGCACCTGTAATGTTTTGCACGAAGTTCACCAATTAGTGTTGAACACTTGGGCACTTTATTTTTCCGAATTTGGACTGAATGTTACAATTATTCACTTTGTACATGTGAAGCATTATTACTCATGTATTGTCAAATTTAATGCACTTACTTTATGTGCGGTCCACATGGTATTTTCTTTGTTTTTGAGTTATTGGTTTACAAATTAGGACTGCAGCGTATACTTATTATTATTTATTATTATTATACAGTATTTATAAAGCGCCAATGGTTCGCTCAGCGCTGTACATTACAAAGGGGGACAGAACATGTGACTTATCAAAGTTGCATGAATATTTATTCCTAAGCGCAACAGCACTATATTTTATTCATTTTACGTAAGGGCAGATGAGTTTACTTCTTGGCATCTGCAATCCTCCTTCTCTTCCAAAGACTCCTGGGATGTATGACATCATTTGCCTAGGCATGGAAACCAGGAAATAACTGAAGAAATGTAAAAAAAAAAGTTTTAAACAAGTATATATAATATCCATTCCTATCTATTTACTAATACTAGCAGCATAAGGATTAAAAATTTTCAATGTTGATCGAGGGTTTGAAGTTCCACTTTAAGAAGTGTCAGTAAACTGTTCGTTTATTAGATACTAGATTAGGAGCTCAGCTGCGCCATGGAAATGACTGCTCTTTTAGGTGCCCTTTTCATTTATATGACAATGTACAATGCTTTATATTGAGTTCTGATTCATTGTTTGCAGATATTAACATGTAAATGGTATTAAAAGCTACTTCCCATAAATCGGTTTGTAATTTATATTCAGTGCCCTTTTCATCTGCGGGGGTGTCAGTCTTGCAGTGTATGGTGTCCATGGTCCCAGGAGACTGTACACATTCTGATTGCACTTTCCCTCTGTATTCCCCAAGTGATGTTTGCAGCTCATTACTGAGAAACCTTCTTCCCGAGTTCACAGCTTCTCTTTGATCAGTGTATGTATAGGCAATTTGTAGCCGTAAAACAGATGAGACAATATGGATTTCCTGGTTGATTGGCCTGAGATAAGCTTTTTATAGATTCTAATTTATGTTCAAAGTTTGCATTTGTTATATGGAGTTGTAAAGAAACATTTATTTTGATATCTCTTGTGCTGTGAGTTCAGAAGAGGAATTGGGGACTTTTAACTCCTTTTCTTTGTTTTGTAGTGGAAAAGCAAACATTTGTTACAACCCCATTTTTAATATGCAAAGCTCCTTCAATTAACAATGTAAGGGCATTACAGCATGTAAACTTCAGCAGCAACCAATCAGAATCTACCTTGTACTGGTCTGATCTCAGGAAATGTAATTCAGATTGGTTTCTATGGGTTATTGTAGTTTATGGTCCTTTTTTTGTTAAGCACTTCAGCCCCCAGCCTATTTTGACACTTCTCTCCTACGTGTAAAAATCTGCATTTTTTTTTTGCTAGAAAATTACCTAGAACTCCCAAACAACATATATATAAGCAGAGGCCGTAGAGAATAAGATGGTGGTTGTTGCATTTTTATGTAACATGGTATTTGCTCAGCAGTTTTCAAATAACATTTTTTTAATACAGTTTAATGAATTTTAATGCACAGTACACAATATAATTCCCAATTGTTTGGTACAATATAAAAGATGATGTTGCACCAAGTAAATAGATACCTAACATGTCACACTTTAAAATTGTGCACACTTGTGAAATGGCGACAGACTACGGTACTTAACCCCTTCATGCCGGCGCCTCCCGGCCCTTTAAGGGTTTCAGAAGCCGGAAAGGCAGGGCGGGGTTTAGGGTCATGTGACCGCCGTGACATGCCATCACTGCTGCGGTCACATGATTGGGAAAGATCCCTATCGAAAGAGGAGATCTGGACCTTTCCGTGAGTACCGGACAAGTGTGCTGGGAGTGCGCAGGGCATGCTCTCTCAGCACATATGTTCTTTTTTATTAGAATGCAAATATGCGGCCGCTCACATTCTAGGCCCAGATGCCGGGAAGCCACACATTTGTGTTCGGCCGGCGTGAAGAGGTTAAAAATCCCCATAGGGGACACTTTAAAAGCCCTTACAGGTTACCAATTTAGAGTTACACGGGTGGTGTTAGAATTATTGCTCTCGCTCTGACGATACTTCACATGTGTGGTGCAATCGCCATTTACGTATTAATGGGGGACCGATACGTATGTTTGCCTTTGCATGCGAGCACGTTGAGACGGGGATGCTTTAAAATCTTTTTACATTTTATCATTTATTCTATTTAAATGTTTTAATTTTTCCACTGTCTCTTTAATTTTTTTTCCCCCTGCTTTTATTGCTATTACAAGATCGGTTTGATCAGATGCTTTTACGAATCAGTAATGGCTTGTTTACATCCTGGCGAAACTGGAAGTGACAAGATACTCGTTGCTTCTCGATGGTCCTCGTTCATCTCTATAGTCAGTCAGTGGTACTGCTGGCTTCCGTTTCGGACTCCCCAATGGGACAGGAGAGCCTGGGAAGGTGACGGACCCCCCTCCCTCCACCTGTAGAAGCGATCCAGTGGCTAATTAGCCAATAGGGTTGCTCTTACATTAAAGCCTGCCACCGCCTGAAAGCAAAAATACTAAGATGTTGCTTGTAGATGCAGGCATCATCCCGGTATAACCACTTCAATCTTACTGGAACGTTGCAGAGGCTGAAGTGGTTAACCCCTTCCCACAGGAAGGTGTAAGTGGGCATTTCAGTCATATACCCAATGTGATTGGCTGTCACAACAGTCACATGATTGGAAAGCTTCCAATCGCTAGTATTCCTCAGGGGCTTTCTGGTCTCCACTGGCAAAAGCGCTGGGAGCGCACAGGATGTGCACTCTCAGCGCAGGAAGGTGTTTATATAAGGCTGCATATATGCAGCCTCTTAACATTAAAGCCCACCCACTAAGAGGCTGCATACATGCATACCTCTGGCGGGAAGAGTTTAGAGAGGATCATTTGTATATAAATTAAAAATCGGCAGCTACAAATAATGACTTTTAATAAACAGACACTTACCAGTCCAGGATCCAGAGCTGTCCTGACCCAGTCCAACTCTTCACTGGTCTTTGGGTCCTCCACGCCGCCATCTTCCTTTTGGGAAGCTGGCTGTGACTTCCTGAGGCTTCACACACTGCTCCCCATAGTGTATGTGTGAGTCGCACAGCACTTTCCTATTGGATCCACAGCCTTCTGGAACCTGTGATGTGTCCCAGGAGGTTGTGGGCAGGGGGTGGCCAAACTTCTACTTGGCTCGCCTATATTTAGCAGGTTCCAGGGGTGGTCAGGGTACATGGAGTTATTTCACATTTTCATTTTTTGTGAAAAGATGAACGTACCCTTTAAGAATTAAAGATGGTTGACAGGTTGGCTTTAAAGAACTCCTGTAGTTAACTTGTAAACAAGTGCTGTGATGTGGACCACAGAATATGTACAGTACTTCTTTTTCTAAGGTGATTATAGCCATTTTGTGGTAGTATTTCAGAACATTTCTGAAAGTGACAGCAACTTTCAGCACCTTGACTGATTTACTGTCACTAAATGCAAAATGTGTAAAACATAAAGGATATCTACAGCCAGATGTTTTTTTTTATCATTTTAGATGGTGTAGGGAAGTGTTAAAAGCCCTGTTCTTTTTTTTTGGCATCTGTGTTCCACTGGGGAGTTCTCTCTTCACAATAAACACAATAAATGGTTAGTGAGAAGAAATATCTTCAAAGTTAGGGTTCGTTTACACTGGCAGCAGCCCTTGCTGCCCCTCTGAAGAGTGATCTGTAGTAGAGGGTGGTTAACAGGTATCTGGGAGAAGATATGTTGCCTCTTCATTGCCTGTTTTAACCCTGAAAAGCCAGCACCACAGTGTTTATTGCATGCAGTTGCAGGGAGGATGAGGTGTGGCCCCATTCACGGTACTGCCTGTCAAACGTAATGGGGTAATTTTTGGTTAAATTATGGCTCAACCACCTATTTATTCCACCCTTCCCCCACTGATCATACATGTGAATGAGGCCTTAGGGAAATTCACCACAGTTGTCCCCATTGGAAGATTTTCCTCTATTCCTGTTCTTTATACTGTACAACTCAAAATTTGGGATGTTTCCTCTTTCAGGTCTGGGAGGATTAAGGGCTCAATCGTCTTCACTAGCTCAGGGGTCTCCAACCTTTCTAAACAAGGTGCCAGTTTACTGTCCTTCAGTGGGAGTAAAATAAATTCATGGTGCCTCATTGGCATTAGTAGAAGGAATAGTGCCCCATCATTGGTGTCAGTGGAAGGAATAGTGCCCCATCGTTGGTGTCAGTGGGAAGAATATTACCCCACTGTTGGTGTCAGTGGAGGGAATGGTATTTAATTGTTGGTGTCAGTGGGAGGAATAGTACCTTGTATCTGTGGAAGAAACTGCGCCATAAGGCCAGAATTATGGCAAGTAAAGGGCTTCATTTGACCCACAGGCTGCAGTTTTGAGACCACTGCACAAGCTCCTTAGTTTAGAACAATATTCTGTTTTCTGATTTTCTTATATAATCTTTTTGTTCCCTTTACAGAAATTGAAATACTGAATCAATGGCTAATTTTAAGGGTCATGCACTTCCAGGAAGTTTCTTCCTCATCTTTGGCCTGTGGTGGTCTGTGAAATACCCCCTGAAATATGCCTGCCGAAAGCATAAAAAGATTTGCTGGTTTGGTTCCAAAGTTGGTTTCCAGCGTGTGGAGGTGATCGAAGGAGCAGTGAAAGCAATCTTTGCATTGATAGGTAAGTCACTGTCACGTCACTGTGCTTTGTTATTCCGTGAGGTGTTTGTGTCATCGTGACCGGACTTGAGCTTATAAATCTGAGTAGTTGTATTGTCATGTGATAGGGGCAGTGTGTATGTCATGTCAAAGGGAGAGGCACTGCCATTTTTCTTTACCTGTACTGGCTGTACACTGAGCTGTTACTGACGTCTCACCTTTGTACATTTTGTACTTTGTACTTGGCACTCGTAATGATATTGTGTATAGCAGATTGAAGACATTCCACCTTAAACCTATATTGTTTGGAGGCATTGGTTCACCCACTGCTTTCTACATTCATGAGGATAGCAGGAGCTCTCTGTTTAGTTCCAGGCTCTGTCTTTCTTGCCACACATTCTTACTTCTGCTGCAAAATTAGTTGCTTTATTTGTCCTCTTATGTTTCATAAAAGGAGAAAGTGGAGCCCCCTTACCAGTGGATAGGACAAATGGGAAGACCAGTAAATATGTGCCGATATCTCAATATCAGAGTCCTTGAGAAATCTATCAAGCCTCAATAAACTTAAACCAACCAAACACTGGCCCAAATGTGAAATCTCAGTTCTGAATTAATCACTTCAAGCGGAACTAAACCCTATTATCCTTTTCAGCCAGGGAAATTTCCATTTTAGCTGCACGTGATCAGTTATGACATCAGCCATTTGATGGTTTGGCAGTTTGGTTGAGAACACATGCAGATGTGACAGTTAGCATTTCTGGTATGCCTGGATTGTAACTGTGTTTTTGGAACTTAAATTGATGGGTTTAGTTTTGTCTTAACGAACCTCATATTTCCTCCCAGTTTTTTTTTTCTATTCTCTTTTGCTTTTTTGCACGGTGTTCTTCAAAAAAACATGTCCATTGAATCCAGCATTGTCTTGCTGCAATCTATCGATTTGCTGCCACAGAAAGGGTGTTTCCATATTCCCTTCCAATGTCAATGGAAGCCAGCTGTCTCTTCTGCGTTTTTTGCAGTTGGCCTCCACTGATCCGCGACCAAGCCTGCCCTTCATCTACTATGTGCCCTGGTCTTTTGGCTTTCTGGGTGATGTGATGGGGGTATACCTGGATGCTGCAGGATCAAGGACATTCTCTTAGGTGAGGTGGGGCTAGCTAACTTAAAAATAAATAAATACATAAATATATACAGTTGTGTTCAAAATAATAGCAGTCAGACATCACTAACCTGATCAATCACTGTTTTTGGTAGAAATTAAATTTCTACATGGCAAATAATTTACTAGCAGGTATAGTAGAGTAATAGAAATCCAACAGACCCAACAGTCATGACATGCATGCTGCTGATTCTGTGTAATTGAATCACTAATTGAAAGGGGCATGTTCAAAATAATAGTAGTGTAGAGTTCTATTAGTGAGGTCATTAATTCTTTGAAAAACAGGTGGCAATTATTGCCCTTATTTAAGGAAGGAAGGGAGCAAATGTTGTACATGCTGGTTACGGTGCATTTCTCTCTGAAATTCTGAGGAAAATGGGTCATTCCAGACATTGTTTAGAAGAACAGCGTACCTTGATTAAAAAGTTGATTGGGAGAGGGGAAAACCTATAAAGAAGTGCAGAAAATGATAGGCTGCTCAGCTAAAATGATCGCAAATGCTTTAAAATAGCAACCAAAACCTGAAAGACATGGAAGAAAGGGAAAAACTACTATTCGAACGGATAGAAGAATAGCCAAAATGGCAAGGACTCAGCCAACAATCAGCTCCAGGAAGATCAAAGAAGGTCTAAAGTTACCTGTGACCCTTGAAATGGGTGTTCCAACAAGACAAAGACCCCAAACACACCAGTAAACGTGCAACATCTTGGTTCCAAACCAACAAGGTTGACGTTATGGAGTGGCCAGCCCAATCCCTGGATCTTAATCCAATAGAAAACTTGTGGGGTGATATCAAAAATGCAGTTTCTGAGGCAAAACCAAGAAATAGAGAAGAACTGTGGAATGTAGTCCAATCATCCTGGGCTGGAATACCTGTTCACAGGTGCCAGAAGTTGGTTGACTCCATGCAACACAGATGTACAGCAGTTCTCAGAAACAGTGCTTATACAACTAAATATTAATTGATTCAAAGGAAAGCAAAATCTTCAAACATTTTTCAGTTTATATAGTGAATGTTTGAGTTTGTAAAGAAGAATACAAACACTGCTATTTTTTTGAACAGTCTAATATTCACTTTTCTTCAATTTTTTAGAGGAACAACACAAATTTGATATATTTTTCTTCATGTTTTGATTTGGAATAGAATGTATAGTGTACCCAATGCATTTGTGTGTATGGAAATAAAAGCTATTAGAAGAATTTTGAGCTTTATTCACTTTTTTCAACACACTGCTATTATTTTGAACACAACTGTATGTGCTTCCTGAAAGCACATTTTTATGACAGCCTATTGCACTTCAGTTCCCTCTTCCACCTGATATTTAAATCACTGCTGCCACCAATTACAGATAATTCTGAGCATTCAAGATTGTAAAGCCAAGTATTCACATACGTGTCACGGCATCTGCAGTGTCCATATCACTCAGGTTAAGTCTGATGCCTTGTAGGTTCCTCTGAGCAGGGAACCTTTTCCATGTTGTATATGTGGACACTGTATTAGAAAATAAATATTTTACCCCCTGACTGTAAAGTGATAAGGCTCTTTTATCCCTTAGATTGTAAGCTCCAAGGAACAGGACCCTCCTAACCCTCTTGTATTGAACTGTATCGTTGCTGTATTGTCTCCCTTTATAATTATATAAAAGAGTATATAGACATGGGTATTAAATCTTTTATATGGGACCAAAGGTAGTAGAGTGATTTATGTTTGGTTGCAGTCAGCTGCTTGCACAGTTTAATAAATAAAGATAAATGTGTCTTTGTATAGGTATGAACCTACGGGGTCTTTTTATAAAAAAAAAATGTCGGCTCCAACTATTGGCCATAATGCAGTAATATCCTAAAAAAATTGCAGTCAGGAATATGCCACATTATGGCCTCTAGAATAGAAAATAAACAAAATGGAGATTATTTGTGATGGATATGTGAATGCACATTGTAAGCTGTAACGATCAGGGTCCTCTGTTTCCTCTTGTACCAAATTGTATTATAACTGTAATGTCTGCCTTCATTTTGTAAAGCGCTGCGCAAACTGTTGGCGCTATATAAATCCTGTATAATAATAATAATTAGCCAGCAAATGTTTTGTAAACAAACACCCAAATGCTTGCTGTGGTTGTCCAAGATAGGAGAGTAGGTAGGTCCCCAGGGGGCTGCTGTGGCATTTGCATATATTAGCACAGCACAGGACTGGGAAAATGCCAGAAGCCAGGTATCTAGTGCTCCTTAAAAATGACAGCTGGCTCCTAATGTTTCTTTAGTTGTCTATGGTGCTGGCTCCTAAAAATAATCCTGTTAGCTCCAGGATTGGACAGACTGGCTCTTGAATTCCATATTAATTTGCCACCTATGTATTTACCGATAATTTAATTTCACAAGCATATGTTCCTTTTCTGACCGTTCTAACTAACCACAGATGAAATCCTAGATTGTTCTCTCCTGTCTTTGATTCTCTCGGGCAAGGGGGCAGTTGTCTAACATGTTATTGCGGCGCTTAGAGTCAAGTGGCGTAGGCACCTTTGCATCCTTGCATGGTTTGAATATTAATAATATATAAACCTATCCTTTAAATTTATTCAGAAAACTTTTATGTTCTTTATACCCTATTGGCTGAGATAGATAAATAGATATATATATGTATATTACCCACTGCTCATCTGTAAATGAAGACTGTTTGTTTTTTGTCCTCAGGGATTTTGGCTGAACAGTTTGTTCCGGATGGTCCGCATCTCAAGCTGTACAATCATGAAGAAAAGCAGTGGGACCACCTTATGAACTGGCAGCACGCCACCATGTATTTCTTCTATGGCATCTCTGGAGTGGTGGATATCATCACCCACACCACAAAAGCTGTTCCTGTTGCCATGGATAGAATGATGCTTGCCATTGCTGTATTTGTTGAAGGTATTTTATACTAGTCTTGTTCAGTTTGTGTAATATGACAGGGTATAACTGAATATACTATACAGGGTATAACTGAATATACTATACAGGGTATAGCTGAATATACTATACAGGGTATAACTGAATATACTACAGTTGCAAGAAAAAGTATGTGAACCCCTTGGGATTACGTGGAGTTTTGCATGAATTGGGCATAAAATGTGCTCTGAACGTCATCTAAGTCACAACAATAGAAGAACACAGTCTGCTGAACATAATACTACACAAACATTAGATGTTGCCATGGTTTAATTGCACATAACGTGTAAACATTCACAGTGCAGGGAGGAAAAAGTATGTGAACCTTTGGACTTAATAACTGGTTGACCCTCCTTTGGCAGCAATAACCTCAACCAAACGTTTCCTGTAGTTGCAGATCAGACCTGCACAACGATCTGGAGTAATTTTGGACTACTCCTCTTCACAAAACTGTTTCAGTGTAGCAATATTCTTGGGATGTCTGGTGTGAATCGCTCTCTTAAGGTCATGCCACAGCATTTCAATCAGGTTGAGGTCAGGGCTCTGACTGGGCCACTCCAGAAGACGTATTCTGTGCTGTTGCAGCCATTGTTTTGTTGAATTACTTGTATGCTTTGGGTCATTGTCCTGTTGCATCACCCATCCACTGCGGAGCTTCAGTTGGCAGACAGATGGTCGTACGTTTCCTGCAAAATGTCTTGATAAACTCTGGAATTCATTTTCCCATCAATGACAACAATCTGTCCAGGCCCTGAGGCAGCAAAGCAGCCCCAAACCATGATGCTCCCTCCGCCATGTTTTACAGTGAGGATGAGGTTTTGATGTTGGTGTGCTGTGCCTTTTTTGCTCCACACATAGTGTTGTGTGTTCTTCCCAAACAACTCAATCTTGGTTTCATCTGTCCACAGTATATTTTGCCAGTAGTGCTGTGGAACATCCAGGTGCTCTTTTGCAAACTTCTAACGTGCTGCAATATTCTTTTTGGATAGCAATGGCTTCCTCCGTGGTGTCCTCCCATGTACACTTTGTTTAATGTTTTCCTTATTGTAGATGTGTCAACAAAAATGTTAGCATGTGCCAGAGATTTCTGTAGGTCTTTAGCTGACACTCTGGGATTCTTCTTTACCTCATGCAGCATTCTGCGCTATGCTCTTGCAGTCATTTTTACAGGACGACCACGCCTAGGGAGAGTAGCAACAGTGCTAAACTTTCTCCATTTGTAGACAGTCTGTCTTACCGTGGAAACATGAACATCGAGGCTTTTGGAGATACTTTTGTAACCCTTTCCAGCTTCATGCAAGTCAACAATTCTTGATCGTAGGTCTTCAGAGAGCTCTTTTCTGTGAGGCATGGTTCACATCAGACAGTGCTTCTTGAAACCAGTAAACCCAAAACAGATGTGTGTTTTTTAAGGGCAGGACAGCTGTCAGCAACACATCCAATATCATCACACTGATTGGAGTCAAGGTTGGCTCACTCCTGGCTCCAATTAGCTCTGGGAGAAGTCGTTAAGCTAGGGAATCACATACTTTTACCTTCCTGCAATGTGAATGTTTACATGTTATGTGCAATTAAACCATGGCAACATCTAATGTTTGTGTAGTATTATGTTCAGCAGACTGTGTTCTTCTATTGTTGTGACTTAGATGACGTTCAGAGCACATTTTATGCCCAATTCATGCAAAACTCCACGTAATCCCAAGGGGTTCACATACTTTTTCTTGCAACTGTACCTAAATGATCTAATCTGGAAGGCCCTTGAGCTACAGAGTTGATAGTAGACCTAAAGGAGGTTGATCTATCAGATTGTAACGTGGTAAGCTTATGGGAGATTTAAGGAGTCCACAGATGACTTGAAAATTACCAAAAAAGGAAAATCGCTCATACAATTGTGCCATAATTTTTTGCATTTTTCTAAAAATAAAAATCCAGCATGTTGGATCAGGCACTTTCAACTGTGGCATGAAAATTGTGTGTCGCAGCTGCCACATTAATGATGCATAAAAAGAGCGATTCGACAACCTACACAAATTTTCGTTCATTCGGCTGATCTATGGGTGGCTTTACCCTCCCTTCTGTCCCAGTAACATTTGTCGATCAATAAATCTAGACCCATAGGAGGTGAAAGTAATGTGTACACTTTGTCCATAAACAGTAAGCATCCTTACTGGCCACGAACCTGCCATGTAAAAAATAATAGTGAAGTGAGAGAGGCACAACCAATGTTGAGTGTTAGAGGGGAACTAAAAGTTCCGCTGTCATAAACTCTGAGGCAGCAGGGTCTTTATTGTACAAGAGGCTTCCAGGATTACTGACTCCTGCACATGGCCAATGAAGATGGCTGAAGACTGACACCCAGAAGAGGATGCTGGTGACGGATGGGGACCATTGAAAGAAAGGTACGGTTTTGGCTCTGTTTTAAAGTGGTTCTTCAGTCCCTGTGTGAAAATTGAAAGTCAGCAGCTACAAAAACTGTAGCTGCTGACTTTTAACAACCAGCCACATGCCTGTCCAGTCGGTCAGCAGCAGCGCCGGCATCTTAACTGTGGAAAGTCGGCTGTGACTGCTTGAGGCTTCACAGCCAGCTACCCACTGCATACGGTATATGTGAGTCGCGCTTGAGAGTGGTCCCACAGTGTTTGGGACCTGTGACTTGTCCCAAGAGGCTGTGGCGAGTGGAGGGGGGAGGTGAACGTCCCCTTGATCACCTAGACCAGGGGTTTACATGTCCAATTCACAACACCGAGTTTTGGCACTATGGCATGTGCACTATGGCATGCTTTATTCAGCATGGTGCGCAAACTACCACATCAGTAGAACTTAATTCGATACAGTTTGCATTAAAAAAAAGTAAACAGTGTGATGTGCCAGGATTGGCTCGTTATTATTATTATTATTATACAGGATTTATATAGAACCATCAGTTTGTGAGGCGCTTTGCAGCACTGCTGTCATCCAACCACACTCCAGCAGTTGCATTCTAGAGTAGCTGCTGTAAATGGGCCTTTAAAGTAAATTCACAACTAAAAATGTAATACATTGCAGCTTATCAGTCCTTAGATATGGTGGCTGCACCCGTTTCCATTTTTAAGCATTTTCCCTCTTGTTTCCCTGGGGATCCTGCAAGTAACATTTTCTGTGCTAGGGTGGCAATGTGCACCTGCTGCACTGGATCTATGGAGGAGCAGTGTTGTCACCCAAGGCTGCTCTCCTGATTTACATTATAAACCCCTCCTCTCAAATGCTAATTATTACTCGTGAGCTAATATGGTGAATTTCTATAAATAGGTGAAATACAAAAAAGTATATATAAATAAAAAAATTTATAAATGTGTCTTGAATCAAAAATAATAAAAATTAAATCACCTTATTATAAATGCACAAATAGGTTCGCAAACACATCACACCAATTCTTAAATAGTGTCAGAATCTATATAAAAACAAATAACTGTGCTGCGCTCCTATATTGATGTAAATAAACTATAAAACAGTGCAAGTCCTTACAATATATTATCCAAACAGTACACAAAATTACTTGAATGATCCCTTTAGGATATAGAGAAATATTAGTGTAATAACATTATTATGTCTCCAATATCAATAATAAAGTGAAATCCTCCTTTTCTGAGAGATGGGTACAAATAGGTGAATTCACTACAACATATAGATGATTGCGGTATATATGAAGCTCAATTATGCGCTCACCTCCATTTTTAGCCCAAAAATACAGGCTAAACAAGCTGTTTATCCTAAAAGCATAAAATGTGCACTGATGTTCACCACCTTCTTTGAATGTGTTCACAGCGTGATTTCCTGAATATCCACCTGGTGTCTCACCTCTCATTACTATCCTATGCAGATCTGTGGATGTATGGATGGATGGATATTTCCTCCTTCTCACCTCCAAGGGGAATAATCCTCCTAGATCCACTTCAGAAGTCTCCACACATATAATGCCAAAAAAAGAACAAAAGATAGTGCTTTACCCTTATAAAACACTTTATTGCATAGCCATTGTATTGCACTCACATTTTAATAATTAAAACAAGCCTTAATGCATATCTCCTTGTGTGCACCGCACACTAGCTGTACTCGCCGTATAGAAGCCGACTGGGCGTGGTGACGTCAGAGCCCCTCCCCTACGCGTTACTCCACCGGTCATGTGGCTTCATCAATTCCCCCTGATGAAGCCACGTGACCGGTAGAGTAACTGAAGTGGATCTAGGAGGATTATTCTGTGATTAAGGTATAACTGTAGGTAAAACTTCCTTTTTTTTTTAGTTTTGGATAACTGGGAGAGGGATTAGAACCCCTGTCAGTTTTCATTGCTGCCTGTGCCCCCATTAGTGAGATTCATCCTCTCTATTTGTCCTAATTACCATTATCATTGAAAATGAAAGTAAAAAAAAATCCTACGTATTGGGTTTTCCCTAGAACAGTAATAGAGGGGAAATCTTCCAATGGGGACACTAGTTCTGCTGCCTGGGAAGGGGGTAGGGAGGGGGCATTCCCAAGAGATTCCCTTTATTCTCAGGGATTTTCTCTCACTCTCCGTTTCCGCTATGAAAGTGAAGGTAAATCTCCCCGATGGAAAAAAGATGGCCAGAAATAAATCTTACAGGGTTATAACCCTCTCTAAGGCTGGCCATACACTATACAATTTTCTTTAGAAAATGCCTTTAGATTTACCAAAAACCATATAATATGAGGTCAAACCTAAACAACACTTTCAATTGTATTCAATTAGGCAGGCCCTTGCACTACACAGTTAAAGGTAAATCTAAAGAAAATTCGGCAGAAATTGGACAGAAAATTGTATAGTGTATGGCCAGCCTTACTCTACTCTTAAAAAAAAAAAAATGTTTTGCCTATAGTTCTACTTTAAATTGTCACTGGTTGAGTCTTTTATAAATATAGGATTATCTCCTAGTGATTGCAGCATGTATATATTTATTAAACAGCTGTAGTGGTAAGATGCATTCTAATCAGAGACCTTTTCTCTGCAATTTAGGATTCCTGTTCTAACCATGTCCATGGCAGGCAGGAGCTGGACCTTCACATTCATCTGCTCCTCTTGTTTGCGGTTTTTGGTGGAGCACTGTGTATATTTCTAGAGGTCTTCTTTCGTGGAAATATCATCCTGGAGCTCTTCCGATGCAGTCTGTGTATATTACAAGGCAGTTGGTTCTGGCAGGTAAGTGCGGGCAGGCATGGTTACACCTTGTGGCCTTAAGCAGCTATTTACTGTCATATGATGGATGAGGACTTAATAAAGCTTAACTGGTTAGACAATTATCCCCGTTATGAGGCTAATTGTAATAGCAAAATGGCTTACAGCTTAACCTGGTACCTTTCATTTATAACATTGTCTGATCATCTGTATGATATAGCTGAACTCACGGCAGAGAAGTGGGGCCAGAGCTTTTTAAAGTTGGGATCCACCCAGATTCCTGACCGGCAGCTGACTCAGCCTCCCAATGCACCGCTGACAGCCTGAGCCAGCCACTCCCACGCCTTCCACAGCTCAGCACTCCAGTGAGCTCTGGAGGGTCGGAGCAGAGAGCTGGTGACTGACAGTCACCACTCTTTGCTCACTGAAGACTGAGAATTGAGCAATCAGTGGTCTTCGATCGCTCAGTTCTTGGTCTTAGAGCCAATGGGGGACAGATGCAGCATTGGACCGATGCTGTATCCACCTAGGTAAGTATGTTTATTTTTTTGAAATCCCAAACTTCTCTTTTAAGGCAATCTTGTACTTGTTAATACATCATTACATGTATTTTTTTTAAATTCAAGCGGTGTAATTGCCTTACGTTGACTTGGTATAAGTCCTTTGAAACCCACTGTACAGCAGAGCTCAGAATAAGAGGAAGAAGCAGCATAAAGAGCCAATGAGTTGTGCTCAGAATAGTGGACATACTAATAGGAGGAGAGAACACAGAGATGAGCGTATTGGTCTGCATTTCCTCCGTTCACTCTTCCAGTCTTCTGTACTGTACTTCTAGGCCAGCAATGGGCAAACTACGGCCCGCAGGCTGTATACGGCCCGGCGGACCTTTTAATCCGGCCCGCGGAGCTAGGCTCCCGCTAGGCTCCTCTCACAGTCCGCCCTGAAGACCGGCGTAGCATGAAAATCTGTCTCATAGGAGGATCTGTCCCCCTCGACGTATCTGCGCATGTGCCGGAGATCGCCGATCGGCTGCTAATGCCTGAAACTGGCACATGCGCAGATACGTCGAGGGGGACAGATCCTCATAGGAGACAGATTTTCATGCTACACCGGAACGGCGTGGGAACACGGCGAGAGGAACGCGCGGAGCAAAGGTAAGTGAATTGACACAGGGGGGACTTGGGGACTTAATATGGGGGATGAATTACTATAGGGGGGATGAATTAATTACTATAGGGGGGATGAATTACTATAGGGGGGATGAATTACTATATGGGGGATGAATTACTATGGGGGATGAATTACTATGGGGGATGAATTACTATATGGGGGATGAATTACTATATGGGGATGAATTACTATATGGGGGATGAATTACTATGGGGGATGAATTACTATGGGGGATGAATTACTATGGGGGATGAATTACTATGGGATGAATTACTATATGGGGGATTAATTACTATGCTTACTATGGGGAATATTACTATATACTTACAATGGATGACACATACACATCATTCATCTACTCTTGGTCCGGCCCCCGGGTCCAATATATGAACCCATTGCGGCCCTCAAGTCAAAAAGTTTGCCCACCCCTGTTCTAGGCTGTACTGTGTGGTAGGGCTGCAAAAAAAATTTTGCACTGGATGGACAGAAATTTAAATCATTTGTCAGGTAAAACCGCTCCCTTTTTATATGTTTATTTTTCTCTGTTACTTTCCTGGATATCAGCTTTAGAGTAAGCCTGTGTCACCTGCTACAAATATAATTTAAAGTAAGATTAGAACAGAAGGCACCATGAGATACCACAACACTGAAAAGTGTGGAGGCTTCCATTGCTGACTTCTCCCTCTGAAAATGCCATTTCCCTGGCTCTCATGCAGATTCACTGGCTTTAGCACTTTTTAGATCACAGGCTCCGAAAGTACTGAACCAGAGATGGCCAGAAAACCAGCAATTTGAGAAGAAGGTCAGCAATGGCAACCTCAGTATCTATTTCAATATCAATTTCCTTTAAAGCGTAACTAAACTCTCTTCCCCCTTGCCCCCTTGCCCACCTTGGTGTGCTGCCCATGTGCGAGTACATTCTAAAGAAGACAGGTAGGTAAGTTTGTTTTAGTGTCAATAAAAGAGAAAAATTCCCAGCTCAACTTACCGACCAGCCTGCAACAAACCAAATTTTCCTGTTTATCAGTTTGCCTTAAAACCAGGGGTTTAGTTCGCACACATTTGCAAATACATGTGTAAGCTGCAGAGCCTCTTCACGGCACCCCAATATTCGGCACTTACGGAGGGGTGGGCTCCCTCGGGCTCACTTGTCCTCAGTCTATCCATTTATACATGTGCTTCTACTATGAAGGCTCTCAAAATGTATAGAGTTAGGAACTGCAGAATATTGATGTGCCATGAAGAGGCTCTGCAGCTTATACATGTACCGTGTTTCCCCGAAAGTAAGACCTAGCGGTACTTTTTGACGCACCGCTAATATAAGCCCTCCACCGAAAATAAGGCCTACCTCCACCAGGGGCGGACTGACCATTCGGGCACTGCCCGAGGACTCGGGGTCACTGCAGGTCCCCATGAGAGGCTCAGTCCGTCCCTGTATGTGCCGCTTCTGAAATAAGCAGGCATTGAGGGGACGGACAGTGAGGCAGGCACTTCGGACACCTCTCCTCCTCGGAGTTTCAGCAGAGGGGCGGGTCCACATCTCTGCCATGGGTGCTGAAGACGGAGTGCTGGAGGGGCGGGCAGAGTATGTAGCAGGTCAGAGTAATCCCCCAACCCTGGTGACAGCACTGCAGCTTCATGTAGTAGGTAGGGGGGAAAGCGAGTTGGGTGGGGGGGAGAAAGAGGGGCGGGGGGGGAGAAAGAGGGCAGAGAGAGAGAGAGAGAGGGGGGGGGGGGGACTTGCTATAAAACCTTTTTGTGGAGCTGGTGGAGAGATCAGTTAGGTTGCAAGCCGACGATCCCTGCAGAATGGAACGGATCTGCAGATTGGGGAGGATAATGGATCGGACTCCGAACCATTATGCTCAATCCACAAATCTGATCCATCGTGCGGGGATCGTTGGAGGGGGTGTCACCAATTGAATGAAAATAAATAAAAGTCAATAAAAATAAGACCTACCCGAAAATAAGCCCTAGTGCATTTTTTTTACCTAACATTAATATAAGACACTGTCCTATTTTCGGGGAAACACGGTATTTGCAAATGTGTGCTACCTAAACCCCTGTTTTTAACGCAGCCTGTTAGACAGGACAGTTCGGTTGGTTGCAGGCTGGTCAGGAAGTTGACCTGGGATTTTTTTCGTTTTTATTGTTTGACGTGCGTCACCCTTCCATGTTCTCCTTGCTGTGAAGGCCAGTTTGGGGCAGTGGCCATTTGTTTGTGTTGTTGATATATTGATGAAGGGGACGCACTGGACACCTTGGCTGCCATTGTGCAATATGCTGGGTGTCTAGTGTGCCTTTAAGGGGTGGGCTCCCTCGGGCTCACCTGCCCTCAGTCTATCCATAATGATACATGTTCTTGTACTATGGAGGCTCTCAAAATTTATAGAGTTAGGAACTGCAGAATATCGGGGTGCTGTGAAGAGGCTCTACAACTTAAGCATGTATTTGCAGATGTGTGCAAACGAAACCCCTGCTAGACAGTGCAATACGGTTGGTTGCAGGCTGGTCGGTAAATTGAGCTGGGAATTTTTCTCTTTTATTGTTTGTCATGTGTCACCCTTCCAAGTGCTCCTTGCTGTGAAGGCCAGTTATAGATTGGGGCAGTGGCCATTTGTTTGTTTGTTTTAGTGCAGAATAGACTTAGACTGTCTATTCTGCAATAAAGAGCCTGCCTGCTCTCATTTTATTTTGCTTTCGTAGTTCTGCTTATGTCTTCAAAGTGGGTTGTGTGCTTTAGTATGTATAGTTTAATTGTTCCAAAAAAATATAGCTGCTTTCTCAGCAGTTACATTTTCCTTACATATAAATATGAAGCTGTAGATGGCCATCACATTTCATTTCATGCAGTTTCCGGCATATCCAACATTTCTGATGTTTGATGAATTGTTACTGCAGATCTGTAAAGCCTGGTGTTCTCATTGGTTGGAGCACTGCTGCCCTCATGTGGTCATTACAATATTTGCAGTCTAGTAAAATCATCTGCCTCGGCACAAGCAGCACACACTTCTAGAAAGAATGCTGCAGTATCTGTGCTAACAGTTCTTCCATGTTCTTCAAAGCCTTGTTCTCTAGAGAATCATGCAGCTGCGAGGACCAGGTGCTGTCTAGGTTCTTTAGGGAATAGAGATGCAGGAGAATTTATTCCCACTTGATATTGCTGTTTTATTTTCTGTTTTAATTGTGTAACTGTTACTGGCTGTAGTAAATAGAGATTGTATAGGCTGGATGCCGGCCATGGAATGTTTTATTTGGACAGAGATAAGACTATTCAAACGCTTTCTCTCTCGCTCTCTATGTAAATGTGCAAGTTATACCACTTTTAAACTTTCCTATAATTGCAGTAAGCAGAATTACAATTGTAGCCTTAGTTAATAAAGTTAAGGTACTTTTCATTGCTTGTATTTTTTTTTAAATGTTTTAATATGTGCAGGAAATAGTGGAACTCTGGGGACAAAAACGTGCATTTAAATATATTCTTTAATAGCCATAAAGCATAAAAAACCACTTTATGAGCACTAAATGCCTTAGGCATAGATGAATAGAAATTTGGCCGGTTCAGCAATAACCTGCTGAATTTAGATCCATCTATGTGCAGGCTGTCAGAATACAAAAGCTCAGCGGGAGGCATTCAGTGGGGAATCAAGCAATTTTTTTTCCTGCAGGAAGAAAATTGCTTAATGTATGGCCTGCTTTAGCATACCCAGATATTACCTTTTAACTAGTGTTTTTTTTAATAGAAAATTACTTAGAACCTCCAAAAAAAATAAATAAAATATATATATATATAATTATTATTACAGGTACTTGTATAGCGCCGTCAATTTACGCAGCGCTTTACATATATATTGTACTTTCCCGTCAGTCCCTAACCCCATGGCATACAATCTAAGGTCCCTAACTTGCATTCATACATACACATACTGGGGCCAATTTAGACAGGAGCCAATTAACCTACCAGCATGTCTTTGGATATATTTTTCGAGGCCCTAGAGAATAAAATGGTGGGTGTTGCAATTTTTTATGTCACGCAGTATTTGTGCAGTGATTTTTTAAACACAATCTTTTGGGGAAAAAAATACACTTTAATGAATGTTATTGCATGTAAACATTATATAATACCTAATTATTTGTTAAAATATAAAAGATGATGTTACATCAAGTAATTAGATACCTAACATGTCATGCTTTAAAATTGCATACGCCTGTGCAACAGCCCCAAACTACAGTACCTAAAAAAAATATCCATAGGCAACGCTTTAAAAGCCTTTACAGGTTACCAGTGTAGAGTTACACAGGAGGCCTGGAGCTAAACTTATTGCTCTCGCTCTGACGCTCTTGACGATACCTCACAAGTGTGGTGCAATCACAGTTTACATATGCATGCGGGACTTACATTTGCGGTTGTGCATAAACACGGGGAAGGGGGCGCTTTCAATTTAAAAAAAAAAAAATTTTTGCTATTTATTTTATTTGAAACTTTTATTTTTATACTGGCACTTTATTTCATTGTTATTGCTTTCACGTGGGATAAACAACACCCCTCGTGAAATCATGGGCTGTGACAGGTCCTCTTTATGGAGAGATCTGGGGTCTATTGATGAATCATTTGATCCATTTTTAACAGAGGTCAACAATGTTGTAGATTTTCTTTGAGATGGCTTGGAGAAAGGTCTCAGTCTGAAATCTCTGAAGGTCCATGTTTCCACCGTATAATAATAATATGATCTCTTGATTACCAAGCAAGTCAAATATAGGCCAAAATTCGTCCAAAGTGATACGAGCTCAGCCCCTTTTAATATCTCCATCCAGCTTTGTTACAGTCTTCAGAAATCCCCTTCATAAGCCCTGAGAGAAAGATCTTGCCATAAAGGTGGGAGGAGAGCCAGCACTGAAAATAAATGAGAGAGAGATCTGTTCCTAGGCAGCCACAGATGACATTCTCACACTGAGACCAGATGTAAATGAACCTACCAGCATGTCTGTGGCAAACTCCATGCAGGTAGTGTCCTAACTGGGATTTGAATACAGGCAGGGCTGGCCATAGATTAAATTAATCTTAGCCAGTTCAGAAGGGACTGGCCAAGATTCGATCCATCTGTGGACAGACTGATTGTACCCAAGTCGATACATTGATTGGATTGGGGACTACCAGCATGTTGGAATTTTTTCGCATGTGCCTATTGCCAGCAGCTATAGCCGCTAGCAATATTCAGTGTGTCCTCCCAAGAGGGACGTGCCCCCCTGCTGGGAAAACGCAATAGCTCCACAGGAGGATTCCCCCATCAACACCATCCCGTGTTAATGGGGAAATAAAAAGATTTTGTGAAACCTGTGGTTGCAGGAAAGAAAATTGCATAATCCATGGCATGCCTTTAACACTGTGCTTCACTTCGTTCATGGCCAGGCCACCTCAGTAGGCAGAAAAGCCAGGTCTCCCTATTGTGGTAGCATTGACGATCTCTTTTTTAATGGGCTCAATGTGATCCACTTATTCCTTCCCCCCCTAACCTTCCTATTACCCAAAAAGTGTGGTTTGCTGCTTTATGGGCCAATAGGGCGAGCTGGCTATGAGAGATCTGCCCATTGTTTTTGTTAAGAGTGATCCAGATTATAGGGTAACTAGTTTGTTTGAAAGAAAATGTGTATTTTATGTTACTAATCAGCATTGCTTTTATGTATTCCAGATTGGATTTGTGTTGTACCCTCCTGGTGGTGGCCCTGAGTGGAATCAGAATGATCACAATAATATAATGTTCATTACAATGTGCTACTGCTGGCATTACGCCTTTGCTCTTCTGATTGTGGGAGTAAATTATGGAGTAGTTATTTGGTAAGCAGTATTCTTTAACATTGATTTAAGGGGAGACGGTTTGGGGTATTAATCGGCTGTAGTCTATGAAAACTTCTTTGAATGTAATGGATAATAAAACTTCTTATAATAGCTCGGTTACTCTGTAGGTAGTACTTTGTAAGGAAGAAGTCCTATTTACAACACCAATTATTATACTGTTTTGCCTTGCAGTATGCCATTTGTCAGAAGGGCATAAGTATACTTAAAATAAGTTAGTTGCAGTAGAACTCCTCACAATATATTGATTCAACATAAGCTCTCGAACTTTCTCATTTGTTCCAGAGCTAATTAAAGGCCTTAACTATGATCAATAAAGGCATACACATTCTGTAGTGCAATTAGTAAACCTATCTTTTACAAATCTATATTAGTTTCAGTGTATGTGTTGGTTTAGTGAACATGGTGCAGCCTGTCTATGTGCGTCCTCATTTCACCCAGCTCCTTAGGGCAGGTGTATAACTTAAAGGATCAGTTCGCCTTGTGTGGTGTATATTAGGTTATAATGGAGGATACAGAAGGTGGAAGAGTCTGGTGTCTATTAGGGTATAATGAAAGCTACAGAAGATGGAAGAGTATATATGGAGTATAATGGAGAATAGAAAAGTTAGTAGAGTTTGGTGTCTTTTGGGATATAATGAAGGATACAGAAGGCGGAAAAGTGTGGAGTTTATTAAGATATAATGGAGGCTACAAAAGGTGAATGAGTTTGATGTCTATTAGGGTATAACAGAGGACACAGAAGGTGAAGGAGCTTGGTGTCTATTAGGATATAATAGAAGATACAGAAGGTGAAGGAGTTTGGTGTCTATTAAGATATTATGGAAGATATAGAAGGTGAAAGGGTTTGGTATATATTAGGGTATAATGGAGGATACAGAAGGTGGAAGAGTTTGGTGTATATTAGGGTATAATGGAGGATACAGAAGGTGGAAGAGTTTGGTGTATATTAGGGTATAATGAATGGAGGATACAGAAGGTGGAAGAGTTTGGGGTCTATTAGTATTTATGGAGGATACAGAAGGTGGAGGAATTTGGGGTCTATTAGGATATAATGAAGGCTACAGAAGGTGGAAGACTTTGTTGTCTATTGGGGTATAATAAAGAAAACAGAAAGTGGATAAGTTTGATGTCTATTGGAGTATAATAGAGGAGGCAGAAAGTGGAAGAGTTTGCTATCTATTTGGGGCAAGGGAGAAAACCCCTATAGGAGAGCCTACAAAAGGTTTTGAACTCCTGGGTCTATTTAAAGTACTTCCACATCCCATCATGACATTTGGCTACAGCAAACATTTTCAAGGTTGGGGATATTTTGGATACCTAGAAGTGTTTGAGGTCTTTAATGGCTCCAGCACTGCCTCTGATAAGGAGGATCATGGGAGAATAGGAGAGAAAGGGAGTAATTGTCCTCTTCATGGCTAGTACGAATAAGATATTTTGGGTTTGTAGACCTGAATGATATTTTACCGTTCAGACATCAGAGTAGGAAAAATCAGTGGGATATGCTGAGCATTATATATCTAACGGCTTCCTTTTCAGTACTGATCACAGCATCTGGCAGAGAAAAGTATTCCAGCACCAATTTCCTTTTGTGGGTCTGAAATGTCATGTGACAAAATGCAGAAAGCCACGAAGAAATCTGGTGGTGGAAGATGTGAAAAGGATTTAATCATGATAAACTATGTCTTTTAGTAACACCCACCTTTCACTATGTTGATCAATCACTGTGGAACCATGGCACACTTTTTTTCTTCAACCACAGAAATCTGTTCCTACCACAAAAAGGCTGGTTGGTGCTTATTGCCCTCCAGAACAAAGGGTCCCAGGTCTTCCCTAAAGGAAGTCTATGAAGCTTTCAGCCGATAACAGTTTTTTTCCCTGGGATAAATCTGGCTCCATGGGTATTTGTGCACAGATGTGAACATCTGTAAAAAGAAACCTAGTCTAGTGGTTGGATTGTGCATGAATGTTTGATCACCATCTGATGTTTATGGCCAGCCTTTTACTTTTGCTTATATTATAATTCAGTGTTACCTTTTAGAAACAATTGAGTACTGTTCATGGTACTTTTTTTATTTCACTAACATACAATTTTTCAGGACAAGCTTTCTGGGTATGTCCCCTTCTTCAAGGGGACCTACCCTAAAAGCTTGTCCTGAAAAATTGTATATTAATGTAAATTAAAAAAGGATCACAGACAGTACTCAATTGTTTCTGTCACAAGTGCACTAATACAGCTACAATCACCTCAAGTGTTACCTTTTTATAAAGCCTGATCTGTGTATTTCTTGTAGGGTGGTTAACAAAAAGCTGAAGAGTGTTCAGACAATGGAGATGGAGCTATTGAAATCCCAGCAAAGAGATCAAGACTCTGAGGATGACTTCTAGTACACCATTCTCTTTTGTCTTAGGGTTATAATGATTTTAGCGTACTGTTTCTTATCATCTGTACTGTACTGTATAATAGACCAAATTGACATGTAATAATGTAAAAAAATGACTATAATAATAATAATGGTAAAATCTTTACCCTCACCCACTGTATACATGTTATCACACGTAATGACAAAATGTATGTAGGGATTTGGGATCATATTTTTGTTGGTAAAACGAGACTATTGCAGATCTTTCATTTTCCTTCTGCTGCTGCAAAAAACTATATATGATTGTTGAATACTTAGACATCTGTTAATGGTAGTATCAGAACACTATCAATCTCATTTAAAGTAGAAATACTGTTTTTGGAAAATTCTGTTTTTTTACTGTTCAGCTTAATTCAGGTTATGAAATGTTCTATTATATTTTAATTGTTTTCAGGGATACATCATTCCAAAAAAAAAAATGACATGGATTCTCATGTGAAAAGTCTGGCCTAAAGTGTCAGTTTTAGGACACCCCTTTTTCATATCTCTGTTCTACATCAGTCATCTTACTAGCTTCTCACAACCATGCTAGCAAAGAAACCACCGCCTGTGTTCAAATCTAAATCTCTCTGCTCATCCCCTTACTAACACCAATATTACGTAAAAAATTAACACTATAGTTCCAAAGGAGATAAATTCCATATTGGAAGAATGTCCTAAAATAGATGCTATAGGTCATACTCTCTGCTGAGAGTTAGCTGTTCCTATGGAATTGGGTAGTTCTGGAAGTAGCTATTTTTGGCAAACGTTTCAAAAGTGAATGGTCCTCTTTAAAGAGAGTTTTAACAATGGCCCTCATTTTTTGGAAGTAACACAAGCTTGCAACTCACATTTTTTATATAATGGAGCAGTGACATTACACTGACAAATTACAAAATGCATCTTATTCAGGCCTACATAGTGTACCTCCACAATAGCTGCCATTTAAGTAGACCTTTCATACATAACCTAATTACGACATAGTAAGCCACATTACCTTTCCTCAATGCCCCACCCAGCTTATCCATGTGCAGGAGTTGGAGGTAATACTGATGAGTGGTGGGAATAGAAGTTTGCATACATGCTCCAGTATAAAAATCTCCTACCAAATGTTGTGGATCTGCAATGAAATGGCAGAAGTAGGGTTTAGCATATATATCTTTATACATTTGATGACAGAAACTGGAAAATGGTAGAATGAGATAACACTAAGAGCAGCCAGGAAGTGTAGAGTACAGTAATCAATAGCAGCCACAATTCAGTTTACACTACATATATTGCACATGATTTTCAATTGGTTGGTGTTGGTTACATTTTTGCACTGCCTTACTGAATAAGCTACACAGAACTGGAAGACAGAGCATAAAATCATAGGATAGGTGTTAGGCTGCACATACACTATACAGTCTGATTGTACAAAGACCTTTAGATCCTTCACCAACTATCTGGTGCAGGGGCCTGTCTGATTGATTCTAATGTAATGGATTGTTTAGATTTGTCCCCCTATTGTATAGTTTTGGCAAATCTAATGGAAACTGTACAGAGATTGATCAGTGTGATTGTTTAGTATATAACCAGCCTTAAAAAAAAAAAAAAAAAAAAACATTTGAAGCCCGACTCTATCCAAAATTTTGTGTTTAAGTTTTGGAAAAAGTGGGAAAGGTTTAGATGCTCTGTCCATTTTTATTGCTGGTTATGTCCTAATTGGGGGAGGGGTTCCTACACTTTTGTCCCTCTGCCAGAAATACAGAACTGGAAGTCAGAGCAAAACTCCTGGGAAACCATGAGCAATAAAACATTTTTAGTGGAGTGGATGGAAGGTCAGAACCTCTGTCAGGTTTTTAGTGCTACCTTTGTCCCCTCTCATGAGATTTCTCCCTACTTCCTGTCCAAGTGAGAGGTATCAAACTTTTACAGGAGTTGGGTTTTAAATATACTGTAATAGTTGTCATCAGTGTGTAACAGCTCACGGATGCTCCCAAAATGCTGGAAAAAAATACTATTATTAATGGATTGCCAAATGTTAAATTGTTGGGATCTTTTTCTTTCTGATAACTAGTTTATGGTATAATCTATAAGATGTCAGAGAGGTGTAATGTAGTGAGTAGTAAAGTATTGTATAGTGTTAGTCATCGATTAATATAGAAAGTTTGGAGTTTAACTAATGCCCTTGATTGATTAATTTAAGTTATAAAATATGTAAGCTTTCAGGATACCTTAGAGCCCTTCTTCAGGCTTTATACATTTTGAAATGTATCAATAGAAGCCACACCTCAGTGTACTTTTTGAAATTGTTAAATTCTGAAGAAGGGATATAAGGCATTCTGGATCTTTGCATCTTCAGTAACTTAAAGCGGAACTTTGCCCAACATCCTACCCCCTCTGCCGCCACATTTGGCACTTTTTTGGTGGGGCGTGGGTAACTGGTTTTGACAGGTACCTGCTCCCACTTCTGGTCAGATTGCTGCGGCGATGTTCAGCCCCTCCTCCTTCCCCCCACACCCTTCTGGGGGACATTCAAAAGCATAGTGCGACTTGGGGGGGGGGGGGGGGACTGGGGCACCTCTTAAAATTAGCCAATAAT